TCGGCAAAAAATTAAAAAAAAAATAATAAAAATGGTCAAAACCGTTTGAACAGTTAATCACCTGGGTCAGTGGTTTATTGACCAAAATCAACGATTTTAAGCAAATTTTCAGTTTTGGRGAAAACCGAAACCGATCACCTGACCGGTTCCCAGTTTTCTGAATCCAACCATCCAGTCTGGTCCGGTTTTAAATACCTTGCCAAAATGTATAAATATGATGATCGAAGACACCCTTGCCGAGGACCAAGACATGGACAAATGGGATTTACTAGAGTACTATTAAGCACCGCTAGACTGGCAGTAGAGATGCAATTATATAGAAATTCACAAACTACTTGCAAAGCACAAGAAGATAAGATCTTCGTAAGAAATGGTCATTACATCCGATCATAAGCTTTAAGATAGATCTAGTTTAGGCATAAAATATCTATACTTCCCTAGTTTCTTATTTGTCTTTTTATAATATGCAATAACTCCTGCTATCAATGAATAAGAATAACCAAGGTTAAAAAAATAGACACGTATCGTATTGGGAACACCCTAATATGCCCCTACAGAAGGTGCATTGGGGTTTTGATCAATTCAGGGGGTGGAGGAACCTTAAACCGGCCTCCCTAAATCAGATTTAAAAAAAAAATAGTACCAATACGCCCCTACCGACATATCGGACATATCTATATTTAGAACCTTGTGAATAACTCGACCTGAAAGCATTCTGAAAAGAGCTTATGATTCCTTGCAGAAAAGGYTTCATTCTATTGACTAAGACTTTAACAATAAATAAATTTGATTTATCTCAGAAATGGCAGTTGAATTAAGAAAATAATGTACCTCTGGTACAAGATCCATTCCAATAATACCCCAATATTTTTGGAACACATGCTCGAATCCCCATTTGGCCTGGGTGCTTTCCATGTGCCAAATACTATACACAGTAGATTTAATTTCATCCAGGCCACATAAAAAGTTATTGTCTTCAAAAGTGATGTAAGTCGGAATGCCAGGAAAATTGTCAAGTTGGGGATTTACAGTAGTGAATAGCTCAAAAAAATGCAAAGTGAGGGTCATAGAAATATCATGGAGATTAGATATCCATTCACCATCAGCCATTTCAGCTTTTCTTCTCTTCTTGTTGGAGGCTTCTTCATGAAAAAACTTAGGCCCCACTCACTTTTCAGTAAGTTAATTACTCAGTTATCTGGGTAAATGCATTTACCTCAGTAAGTATTTTCTGAGAAAAACCTACCCAGGTAAGCGTGCTCATTTACCCATATTCTTTTATTTTTCAAGTAAATAAGGCAATGACCGTTTTAGCCATAAAAATCTATTATTAAAATGGGCATTTTTGTCTCATTCAAGTGTTTGCAACTTCCCCCAGGTGGCAAAGTTATTTACCCACCTAGGAGATATATATCACTTATTCCTACGAAAATAATGTTTTCATAATCCCCATATAAATCTGAAAAAAGAACATAGGTATTTTTTATCAATAAAAACCAAAATCCCATTGACCAACTTTCCCCCCTCTCAAAATTCAAAAAAAAAAAAAGAACACCCCCTTGGGCCTTAGTGTTACGATCACCATCCTTTTACTAGTCCATAAAGCGACCTCTGCAACTAATAAGCTTCCTCTCTATCAAGAAGAGTACCCAACAACTGCTATACAGGCTCTGTTTAAGGGAAATATTTGCCGCTCAATGGCATTCCTTTGCTTTCTAATATCCACAATATTTCCACATGGAGCATACAATAACCATCGCATAGGCATACATATGGATTATATGTTATCCCACAAATTAGCCCATTGTAAAGAATAAAGATATTAGAGGTATGGTACTTAAGTCATTATTCCCAATGCATGGTAGGATGTGCCTGTGACGTCGGTGTGAGGCACCGTGTGGAGAGCAGATCCGGTTCGGGAAGTAAAAGGTGTACACCCACCACTCTTCTCTGAAGAAGAATTAGTAGTACAACTCAGATCTCCAATAACACACCAAGGATACATAATAGGTATTTTTTATCAATAAAAACCAAAATCCCATTGACCAACTTTCCTCCCTCTCAAAATTCAAAAAGAAAAAAAACAAAAAAAAACGCCCCCTTGGGCCTTAGTGTTACAATCACCATCCTTCTACTAGTCCATAAAGCAACCTCTGCAACCAATAAGCTTCCTCTCTATCAAGAAGAGTACCCAACAACTGCTATGCAGGCTCTGTTTAAGGGAAATTTTTGCCGTTCAATGGCATTCCTTTGCTTTCTAATATCCACAATATTTCCACATAGAGCATACAATAACCATCGCATAGACATACATTTGGATTATATGTTATCCCACAAATTAGCCCATTGTAAAGAATAAAGATATTAGAGGTATGGTACTTAAGTCATTATTCCCAATGCATGGTAGATGTGCCTGTGACGTTGGTGTGAGGCGCCGTGTGAAGAGCAGATCCGGTTCTGGAAGTAAAAGGTGTACACCCACCACTCTTCTCTGAAGAAGAATTAGTAGTACAATTCAGATCTCCAATAACACACAAGGGTACGTAATATTAGAACTGCTATATGTCAAGAGAACATCAAAGAAAGATTGACAGGCTGAATGAGTATAACAGCAATACATATTCCAAGTTCATCCTAGGGGCCACTTTTGAATTTCAAGGATGATATGATGCTGGGAAGTAGATAGAACTCGAAAATTCAACGAAAGATCATAACCCAGAATTAATCTACCAACCAACCCAATGGGCGGTACCATAATAAGCTTGTAATGTTTATAGAACATCACCATTCTCTCCTTCTGGGTGTTACACGTAGACCCTATTTGGTTTCGGGAATAGAGTTTGGAATTGGAATCAAAATAAGTCATTTCAGTTTCAAYTGTTTGGTCGGGCGGAATTGGAATCCTATTTCCATTCTTGGTGGAATAGCATTCTCCCATTTGAGGGAATGGCCATTCCCTCCCCCTCCCTTAGGAATGAAATCCCATTCCAGCTTATTTCAATTTTCATTCTGGTTATTCTCTGAATCAAACAAATTATGGAAATAGACCATTCCGATTTTTTATTCTAACAGATTTTGATTCTAATTCCAACTGCAAACCAAACGGACCCTTAGTTTTAAAATGAAAGAAAAACTTTCAATTATGTAAAACCAGGAGTTTTCTCAGTTGAGGAATTTTTCGGAGACTCCCCAACCCCTCACAATTCCATGATAAACAACTCGTGGCAAATTTGGGGGTGATTGCCGGCTCGTCACTCTAAACCTTGTAGAGTAAACAACAGAATTTTGAGATTTGGTCTCTCAATCAATCACCAAAATAGTATCTGAGATAGCAATAGACTCGTACTTCTTAGCATGTGAAATCTCCATGAAAGTTGGACTGGACAAAAGTATGGGTGGCCACGAGCCAAGCTTTTCATGAGCTATTCAAAATTAACTCATGAAAGTGATTCGACTCGATCTAAACCGATCTCGAACGCCAATATATATAGACTCATTTTCTAATCAAACCAAACTTGAACCCAATAAAGCTCGACCTGTGAGGCTCGTGAGCCTAATCGAGCTTTTATAATACATATATACATACATACATACATAGTTGGGCTCACGGTTTTTATAATTTTCTAAAATGTTTGTGACTCACAGTCGAACTCAAACTAACCAGCATTTGACTCGAGTTGAATTTGAACTCAAGTTTCTAGCTTGAATCAAGCTCGAGCTCACAGTATATTGGCAAACCACAATCAAATAACTAGATATTCAGCTCTGCTCAACTCGAATCCACCCGTAACAGCTCACTGTGAACATGTAGTAAGATGCTTGAGACTTATTCCATGAGTAGAAGCTACTAGCTAAGTAACTAGAGAGAGGGAACATAAGGTTGGAATTTATTCCATGTGGTTCTTTTTGGGACCAAAACAAGTAACCACGTGGAAATGAAAGATTCTTGCAGAACCCAACCGGTAGTAACTAAAAGAAAGTGTAGGGAAGGTGACTCGACAAACCTTTTCACTCGGACTCGCTATTCTTGATTGCATCATTTGAGATAATCACAGCTCACAAGAAAGCCTTTAATCTTTAGAATCTTTGATTCCGTCAAAAGATATTTAAGTTTTCACTTATTTTTTATCTCCTTAATCTGTTTGTCATGAAGCCCCGGTTTAAATGCCACCCCTATACATATTGTCATGGAGTTAAGTTCCATAGGCCCACACTACTAAAGATATAAGCGCCTCGTAGGCACTGCAGCAACCTGGTCACAGTATACCCAGACCATCTCCAAAAGAAAAGCAGTCCGCCTTTTCAGGTCTTTCCGTCTAAAAATCCTTGACAACAAGAAATATCATTCTCAATCAGCCCCTAATTCCTAAATACAAAATTACAAATGAACTCCAAATGTAGTGCCTATAGACAATCGGCTTTCCTAATCGTTGTTGCATCAGAGCTAATCGTTGTTGCAAGAAAACCACCCTCTGAGTCTGTTGAAAGCATGCTGTGTACCTGATGATACAGAATTGAAAACATTCGCATTTATATGCTGATTCCCTATATAGACCCATATTCTTATTAGTCTGGAATGGATGGCCAGCTCAAGGCTGTGTTGTGTTTGGGTCATGGACTCAGCCACAACGAATAGAAACGACCAATTCTACATATTTTCTGGTGCTGTTCATTGGGTTCAATACTTTAGTGGAGCGAGCGGCTGGGGCTGTCAGTGTGGGGCCTAATTTGGGAGAACAAATTCGAGGTTCCTGAAAGCATCATGAAAGTCACTTGAATTAAATAGAAGTTAGACCAGAGCGGAAGAAACAGTACACTTTTCCCATTTCCATCCTATAAATATATAAAACCTAATTAAAATCCAGACGAGGTTTCAATCAAAACTGTGGTAATCTACAAGAAAAATCTGACGGTCACATCTCGAGAGGACACAATCGCACAATATGTTCCCTAGACATGGGGGATGTTCTACGAAACCATTAAAAAAAAAAAAAAGCCCATTCGACTACTGTTAGTGTGAACATTTTCGTATAGTAGTTCCAAACAATATATTTCAAGTAGGAAGATTCAGAAAGCCAGCACAGACCTATAATTTCTCTTAACTTGGGAAGCAGAGATCTCAGCATCAGCATCAGAGTTAATAAAACTATTTCACTATCAACAAAAATAAATTTGACAAAAGGGCCCTAGGTCAATACTGCAACCCTGCAAAAGATTTTTCCATTTAAAAGCATGAAACTCTGAGACTGTTGCAAGACCTCTCCACCACCAATATAACCCTCCAAACCTCCAATCTACACCACTAGCCACAGCGTCTGTTGAAATGCCAAACATGACAAAGTACCACCACATGGTCACACCATTAAGTACAGCGGAGCGCTTGCAGCAACAGATCCATGCATTCCTCCGACTGAAAATAGAGTAATTAAGGATTATATTTACCTGAGGAACACAGGTAACAAGATAAAAAAGGTTTCATGCTCCCAGTAAATATCAGAATAGAGGGGGTCCACGTCAGCCATTTAACTTTCTTCCCCGTTTCTTCCCACTCTTTGTCTCACTTTCTTGTCCCTTAGCTGAATCTGGCAATTTTCCCTTCGCTGACTCCACATGCACCTTTGACGAACCAGATTTTCCTTTACTGGAGGTGCCATTAGCACTGGATTTGCTGCCAGTTTTAGGTCCTTCACCCTTGGACTTGCTGCTGATCTTGGGTGTCTCATCCTTGGTCTTGCTGCTAGTCTTGGATGTCTCATCCTTGTTCTTGGTGTTAGTCTTTGGTGTCTCAACCTTGGTCTTGGTGCCAGTCTTGGGTGTATCATCCTTGGATTTGCCAACAGATTTTTGGGTTTCATCTTTCAGTTTGCTGCCGAATTTAGAAGTGTCTTCCTTGGATTTTCCACCACCATCGCCCTTCGACTTTCCAACTGTCTTAGGAGTTGCACCTTTGGTTTTGTTGTTTGGCTTTCCATCGTCCCTGGATTTACCACTGGACTTTGGGGTTTCGCTTTTCGATTTGTTGGTTGTACCACCTCCCCTAGAATTCCAATTTTCCAACTTTTAAAACCTTCAACATCCATAGACTATTATCAAATATCAAATCAGATAAGAACATCCACTAACCGTTTCGCAGAAGAATCAGCATTTGCATGCTTGGTTGAGGATTCAGAATTTGTCTTTGCTTTCTTCTTCTGGTGGCTGACGACAGATCAGAACAAACTAGGAGTTAAAACAAAATACAGTTTTTCAACTAAAAGAAGAAAACTGACATCATGAAAAGAACATGAAAATTCCTGAAACTTGTCCAAGAATTAGAGAAAATACATTTTTATCAGTACATAGAGCAAACACATTTAGATGTTCAACCAATTCAAACAAAATAAAGAAACAAAATAGAGTTTTAAGTTCACATGAAAAAGCATCCCATCAAATGTCAGCCAAGGTAAACCAGGATTACGATGAGATGTATAGACTTTGGCAGAGGTTAATAAAATCTTATATTAATCCGTACATAGAGTTTTAAGTCCAAACACCATCTGTTGGAATCTTATATTAAGCAGAGGTTAACAAAATCTACAGAGTCACTAACTGAGGAGTTGGTTTTTCTTTCTTTCTTTGATAAACCCCAATACAATGGCTATGACCTAGCAAATATACCAAAGTTAATAATTTTAACCTGACTGGGCATTACCAAGCAATCACCAATCAGTCCAGGCCCAACACATATAGCACAAGTTGGAACACACTTGAAGTACAAATAACAGTAGCATGTCTGCAAATGCCTGGTAAGCTTTAGGTCTACAACTTGGAAGAAAAATGTCTATCAACCATTAAGAATGCTCAGCATAGTGATAAAAAGCTTGGAACCTAAATCATACAAATGGAATAACCTTATATTCAGAGACAAAGAACCAAGAAGATGTAGAACTCCAAGAGTAAACCTAAAGATCCTAATCAAAGCATTAATTGACTAGAAAAACCATAAAGCTTTTAACTATCGTTTAGCTCCTATTACTCCTACAGAAAAGGGGAAAATGCCATTAATTAACAATATTGCATAAAGTACCCATGTTGGGCACATCAGATTCCATCACTGGATTCTTAAGGGATAGTTGTATATAACAATCCTCTCTTATTTGACATAAATGAACAGCATTGCAAACAATAATCTGGTCCAGAACAGACATGTTTGCAAGTAATTGTTTTTTGTCTTGCCAAGTAAGAATTCAGTATGTCAGATTCTGATTCCTGTGCCTCTTTCCATGTAACATCATTACCATTTAGGATCCAATTTCTTACTTCAATCGTAAATTCGTACTTCACTACAAAGGGGAAAAAACATTCAACAGTTGCTGGCTGTGGGAACATGAAACTTCAGACTATCACAGATGGAGATTTGGCATAGTTGAACAATATTTTTATTCATATTTGAAGATCTAGTCCAGAACAAAAGAAAGAATCAGAGTATGAAGTTCCAGAAAATAGTGAGTATAATATTGTAATCAAATAGATGATAATTTAACACCCGTTTGCAGCACTCCTCATAATTTACAGCCACATCTTGTTGCAAACGAGAAATTACATCCACAAAGACTAATCTACATGAAATGACCATCATCCAATGTTGATCCTTCCTATAAAGGATCTTGGGAGGGATGCACTGGATAAGGACCCAACCTAGTGCATTTTTTGCAGAGTGGCTGCCCTCAGACTCAAACCCACTTTCTCACATTTGTCAGCCTTAGGTTTTATCACTGAGCAAAACAATGGCCCATTGGACTAATAGTCTAATCCATATTAAGAAATTCAAAATTTTAAAAATTGCATCATGTTTCACACTCAAAACAGGAAATTTTAAGCATTTCTACCTAAATAAAATTGGATATCATCAACCAGAAATACTTACATTTCAGAAGCATCAGGACTTGGAAGATCCATTGGTTGCTCCTGTACAAAAATTTAAAAATAAAAAAAAACATGCATAAAAACCATATACTGGACACAACAAATGTGGCAAGATACAGAATTTAGTTGTCAAACCAACCCTGTCTGACGCTTCATTATCTTCAATAAATTCCCACCTCTCCTTACTGAGATTCAATATCTCAGTATCACCATCATCATATAAAACCTGCATAGAAGTAATAAGCATAAAATGCAAGGCAAGGAGGAAAATGTCTTATAGACATGTAGCATAAGCAATAATTTCACCTTATGTTTCCTTTTAACAGGATCGTATGACTCAATAACACCGTTATAAAACCTGTAGAGCAAAATAATTTAAATATACATGAATAATGTACACATGGAAACCTTAATAACTCTTTGAAATTAGATAGAGTTTGTATTGCATTACATAAAACCATCAAAGCAAACCATAAATACAAGGCTGACATATGAAATTGATTAGAGAAAAAAAATAACAATAGCAAGCAACAAAAAAAATATATAATACAATAAAAAGACTGAGAAGACACATGCACAGGAGATATCCACCCTTAAGACACAGACACATTATCTCAAGGAGGTTTGACCCACACATTAGCCATTGAATCAGATCATCAATCTACTGCCCTCCCATGAAACCTGTTAAAAGCTAGGGTCACAACCATTATGTTTAACAGATCTGCATTTTCTAAAACTCTTCTGTATTTTCTTTTCACATGTGAAATGATCTAATAAATTTTAACATTCATAATTGCTAGACTAAGAGGTAGTTTATTTTCCATCATTTCCTTGCCAGGTCATTGCTGTCAAAATATGCAACTTTTTGGCAAACGTCATGACCAAGCATAATAGTTTTCAAACAATAAATATATCTTGACAAGAGTTATTCACTGAATCTTTATTTTTTTCTGAATATTGAACTTTTTCTGAAGAATTATATTGAACCATTTACTTCTATTTGTACATAAATGATTAAATGCATGGTGCATAATTACTTTTACTAACTAAATTAGCCTTTCTTTATTTCAATTCATTATTATCTTTAGGATTAGGGATAGTCCAATGTCTAACAATCAAGTGCACATGCAACTGCATAAAGGGATGTCTCGGGAAGTTGGAAACACAATTGCAGAACTTACGTATGATCTCTTGGCCACCAAACCTTGATCCTGGCACCATGCAAGTCCTCACCATGACCCTTCACATTATGTGGTGTTTCAGAAGCCTGACATGGAATTTAACTCCAAGTTAAGAGAGGAAAATCCATTTAAAAGGATAAAGCAGTAGTATTTAACTAAAGATGAAGAAGTGGCTCTAAATTGAGATAAAGCAGTACTAATTTTCCTTCATTCATTTCATTTTGATAACTATCAAAACTTTATTAGATATATGAAAAGAATTCTATATTTTTAGGCTGGCATCAGCCACTTAACCCCTTCCCTAATATACAAGCATTTCCTTCCCTTCAAGTATTTGCAGCAGTAGAGAAAATTGAGACTCGCCGAACAGTAGCACAAGTGCAAGACAAAATAACAGCGCCATAAACAGATAACACTAGCAATAACACCGGTCCTGTTAAGTCCTTAAGTTTGCTGGACTGGGAACAGGTTATTAAGATACTCCTAGGCACAGATTAAAAAAATAATAATAAAGAAGAAAAAGGGCTTTCTTATAAGCCCAATCAGTTCYATTGGTGGGCTGAAACATTTTAGTAAAGAAAAGGGCCCAATCTAGTTTAGTGAACAACAGGCCCCAAGTTAATTGGGCTTGTTTGTAATGCAATAAGCATTTAATGGGACACTTGGCACCCTAGGCAGAAGGATTTATTTTCTCTCCTTTAACCACTTGAAGTGGAGGGGACACTTCGCACCTTAAGAAGAGAAGAGTGGGGAGTTACTTAACCACCTCCCTCCTCTATATAAGCCCCTCTTCTACAAGGAGAAGGGGCTAATGTGGCTAATTCTATTCAGTTGATTGAATTTACATCAACAAGAGACAAACCAAAGGACAAAGAGGAGAAGGTTGTGGTGTGGAAGAAAAGGGAGAAGAGGAGAAAGAAGAAGGTTGGGATTGCAGTATTCCTCCTCCACTTCTTCATTATGATTCTCCTACAACTTCCTCTATTAGACTTGTGCCTTTCCTTATACTCCTTTCACACTTTCATTCTTTGTCGTTATTATTTTCCGTTTTCTTCTTCTCCTTGTTTCATTTTAATCATATGTGAGGGAGACAACCATCTACAGCCTTGTTCATGAGACTTGGCTGATTATGGTTCCTCACACCATGATAATGCACATAACCATAATTTAAAGGCCATTTGTAGCCTTATTGATGAAATATGACTATTTTGATACCTATTTACTTGTTATGTATAAAAAGTTTATTTATTTGCTGGTATTTCTCTCAACAAAGAGGAAATATACACCAGAATTTTCAAAAGGAAATTTCTATAGAAAAATGTTACTTAGTTTAGTCTATTCATTTGTACTTCTGAATCAGAATCAAAGGGTTTTCTCTGCCCTTAGCAGAGATATAATTAAGGGAACATCTATGTGATTTCCTGCATGGGGCTTACCCAAATAACAAAAAAAAAACCCAGTTATTAGTCTAATTGGGTGAATTATGTTATGTGAGAAATTATACTAAAAAAATTCCACTAACAGGTCCAACAAGGTGTTTTAAAAGCACAAGGTGCAAAAAAGGCGCAAGGGCCAATTTTCTCCCGAGGCGCAAGGTGCAAGGCAAGGCACACACCTTTTTGAAGAAAGTCATAGAAATACAAAAAAAAAAAAATGTTAAAAATCAAAAAATGACAATTCAAAAAAATGCAAAAAATATTAAACATAACATTAATAAGAAATATAAACTTAAATTTTAAAATTAATGTTTTAAAAAACCTATTATTTAAAATTAAAATACATAAACATAACATCTAAAATTAAAAATATCAAGCATGCAAAGCCCACAATCTCTTTGTTTTCCTCAATTGCATTACTGCAAGTAACTAATGTGATATAAAACATATTACATTCCTGATTCAACGAACTGCCTTTGTGCCATGTCCCTCGAGGCAAGCCCAAACAAGACCATTTAGGGTCTTAAATTCTTAGTTCTCACACAAAAAAAAATAATGATTTTATAATTTTAATTGCTTTTTTAAGAAGATATTTTAGTAGGATGAATGAATGAACAACATTAGCAAGTAGGGGGTTCTCTCAAAGCTTCAATGAGCGAGCAAAGCAAGCGGGAAAAAAAAAAGCATAAAATTTTCAAAAGGCACACACCTGGTCTAAGGTGCATCAGGCGTGCGCTTTTTGAAAGTGTTGCGCCTAGGACCTGCATGAGGCGCCTACCTTAAAATGCGCCTCACCTGTACACCTAGGTGCGCCTTTTAAATCACTAGTCCAACATCTTTGGACCAAATGCACTCCTTTTTCAATGTTCAAATGGGAAATTCAAGACATCTACACATTTTAAGAAAACCTATGCTCTTTTATCATTTTCTACATTTCTTAACCTTTTTCTTTTTGGTCATTCCCATTGTACCAGTTTCTTTTCACATACTTCATCTATTTGTCTTGACTTTATCCTATTTATCACCCATGCTGGGCCAAAATTTTAAGAATTCTATCTGATGTTACTAGTATACCAGTTACACATAGAACTATTGATCTTTGACAATACCAAGAGGTTCAAAGTAATTTAAAACCTCTGCTTAACCAGTAAGTTGTTGCCTGCAGATTATTTTTTTATTGTTCTCTTTATGGTGCACATCCAGAATGACAGAGGAAATAGAAATCTTACCCAACTCCCAAAAAAGTGAAATTAACTGTAGTTGTTCAAGACTGATAGCAGTCTTGAACACAAAGAAATTTCAGGTTCGAAAAGAAGAGAGTGTAGAGGAAAGAGGAGAAAGAGTAGAGAGAGAGCAGTAGAACACAAACTTTGAAAGGAATGACAGAATCTTAATTATTCTGCCGCCGCCACTTCTATTTAATATTTATAGGTTATGCTAGTTACATGAAAGGACACATCTGCCCTTGGTATTTACATAACACATAATAATATAAAACTGAAAAATAAATAACAACTAGAATAACAGCAGCTAACCCTAGGATGACTAGGAACATTCTGCCCTACGGACAGAGTGGGACCACAACTGTGGGGCCCACATCAGTGTTCTCTACATTAACAAATCAAACAATTTGCAGTTAAAAATTCACACAAACAGAACAAAAAGAAAAATCTCAACACCTTAGCTCATACCTCTTCCTTCCCTGGCGTACGCTTTCTCTTTGATTTTGTCCTAGATTTTTCTTCCAAATGAGCTTGATCTTTACTTGAAGACTTGGTGACAGTCTTTGGTGAAGAAACCATTTTCTGTAAAATTCATAACAACAAAAGATTGCCAGACTCAATTACTTGAAGAAAAAAATCACAATACATCAACCGGTTATCCACTTGCAGGAAACTAATCATAGGTCTAGGGCTCAAGTAATGGTATGTTCCTCCATTAATGAACACTCATGCTGAGGAAGTAAAAACTAACCAAAGGAAGGCAATGGTAAATAAATGAAAATGGTACCTTGCTACTGGGTTCTTCAATTATATCATCCTCAGAAACAGATTTACCCCTTCCCCGCTTTTTCTTACCCTCCTGCTCCTTCACTAATGATCCATCCTCGTGTATATTCCTCTCATCTGCCCTCTTATTGGGCTTCTTCCGAAATTTTGTTTCTGAATCGCTTGAAAACGCAGATTCCTTCTTTGTGTCATCCACAGGTGCTGAATTCCTCTCATTAGCATTGCCAGAAGGTGCTTTTTTACCGGAACGTCTATGTGGTTTTGCTTCAATATCACTTGTGCCCTCAGACTCTTTTTTTGAGTTAACAGTTGCTGAAGGTGGAGTTTCATCATCAGCATGATCACTAGATAAAGCTTCCTTTGGAACAGAAGGTGAACCTGGATCAGCATCTTGACTTGCACTCCCTTTCTTCTTTGGTCCTCTAAGGGCCCTTTTGGGATGAGTCCCAGCAGGATGGGTTTGACTTGAAGGTGAAGTGTTGTTTGCAGCCTCATTCTGGGAGGCTGTTGGAGAAGATAGTTGTGTCTGATTCTCCTTTTCCTGCTCAGACAAAACAGCTGCATCCTTGGTAGATAGACCCTCTAAAGGTGCACTATCAGCTTCCTTGCTGCGACTCTTTCTGCTGTCCGGCATTTCCACAGCTTCTTTCTCACTTTTAATCCGAGAGTTGTTGGAAACTTCTGCTGAACCAACCAAAGAATTAGCTTTCCGACCCCTTGTTTTTTTACCAGCCTGACCTGACTTGGTTTCTGATTTGACTACCTTCTCACTATCAGCCTCAGCCTTGGTTGCTGCTTCAGTACTTTTAGATTGAGAAGCACGACGAGAACGCTCAAGCTTCTTTTTCAGAGAATTTGGCACAAAGTTTGAGTCATTATTCACAACTTGAGCAGTGCCATTGCTTGTCACAGATTTTGGAGCTTTGTCCAAAGCAGAATTAACTGCTCCAGGACAAACAGCTTCTAATGAAAGCTCCTTTGCCACCTGATAAATAGCAAATTCAAGCTTTTTTACGTAACTCTTCCTGATAAATGAGATCCCATTGAGAACATAAAAGAATTGACAGTTAATACACAAACAAAAAAAAAAGTCTCTACTTGCCTGCTGTTGCTCATCTGAAGCAGTCCTTCCAGCCAGCTTGTTCTCATCTGCCTGAATCAAGTGAATAAAATGGGTAAGGAACCATTTAAACCATGCATACAAGAAAAACCACATATCATAACATTAATAAGCAAACAACTTATCTAACTTGCAAGGTGTTTTTCAGATTCAATATTTTGATCCTTGACGTTAACATTTTGTCCATAAAGAGGGGTCGTGTTGTACAAATTTGCATCAAGTTTCAAAAATTACCAGTTTTAATAGAACCTTCACTAAAAGATACTAGCCTTAAACTATTCATACAGTCTTTATGGATAACTACTCATAGTTTTTATGCAAGGCCAGACATGGTAATCTACTAGGAACACCAGCATTAGCTCATTACAACCATGACCGACACAAAAACTAATACCCTTGGCAGCCAAGGTTGTTAATACAAGGGATTAATATCCTACATCTAGGAAAAGGTAAAACCCAACCAGGTAAACAAACAAGGGCAAAAGCTACTTACAATTTTTTATATGCCATGAATCTATAAATGAATTTGAAACATTTAGGTGCACCTCCAGGTAAAGAGTCACAACCCCAACCTTACACTTCCACTCCCACACAGCACAACCAGTTCACCGCTGCATCCAGCATTTAATCACCCTTGACACCACAGAGCTTGAGGAATGTGCATACACTATTGATTCCTATCGGATCTTAAATAATGTATTACTAGGAAAACGTAGCACAAGCAGTAAAACAAAATCCAGCCCACTTCCCTTTGAATGAGAATCTTTTTTACTTCAAAGGTTCAATTTAAGGAAGGTAGAAAATTTAGGACATGAGGACTTGGCTAGAAGATCCCCAGTCACTACATGCATATCAAGCTTAAGTTCTTAACAAGTTAAGATTAGTGATTGAAGTACCCCACCCCCCATCCCACAGGGCAAAAAGCAACAAAATTCAGGTTGCTGTAGTGATAACACATTATTGAGTACATATATCAACATTTGAACATCAAACAATATGGAGTTATTACTCACCTCATGCAGGTCAACATCTAAGATTTTAAACTTACTAATGAGAAAACATTGGAACCCTTCATCAAGATATTATCTGCAGATTCATTACTAAGATTTCCTCACAGGATACTTTATATCTATACTTTTCTTGATTTGGGTTCTAGTTGACTCTACCCTTACCATTTGAAGGAAAGTACCAACTTCAAAATCTAATATTAAATTCAATTAAGAAAATAAACTAATAATGTTTCTCAATGTTTTAAAAAACAACCCGGAGGCCAAACTGTTTTTGCCTCCAGGTCGTGGGTCACCAGTTCAACCGTCAAGGTCGAATAGGTCATACCATGCCACATCAGCAATATGTAATAATTAGATATATGTATATACGCATATACAGGACCTATAGATATGTATAAACATGCATTTTATCAATAAACAATGTATAATTATGCCCTACATGTAATATGTACTGTTTTATATTTATTTTGTGTTTTTTAATTCAGTTTTTATTTTAATTTGTAAAAAATATTAAAAAGTGAGATTTGCGGTCAAAAAAGAGGTCTTTCGCAAAATTAGTGGGACAAGGCGAGTATGATGCCTCAGGACGCATAAATCTCAAAATGCTACCCAAAATCAAAAAAAAAAGACCACCCCAATCAGCATCGGAGCACAAAGTTATGGCCTCCGGAAGTTTGCATACACATTTAGTATGCAACCCGTGACCCAGTCACCAGGTCGAATGGGTCAACGGTCCAACCACCCAGGTCAGACACTTTTTTATCAGGTCAACAATTTTTGACCAATTTCCGGGTTTTACTAGAACTGGACCCAGAATCTTGGCCAGGCCCAGGTGACGGTTCAAACGGTTCAACTAGCTGGGTCAACAACAGGTTGAAAACACTAACATTTCTTGGTGGTGTTGCGGAGCTTTGATGACCTGATTACTACTTGGACAATCCTAAAATTTGGCCAAAACATCATGTGATTTGCCATCAGTTGGACCATATGGAAGGAAACAAATTCACATCATACAAGAAAAGTAAGGCAAAGTGGTGAATTGGGTTAGACGAGGCTGTTTGATTCCAGGCAATAGCTGAAGTGACTGAACTAAATAATGCTTTATCTTTTAGCTGAAGTTGGGTTTGATTGTTATGCCCACAAATATTTTATTATATAACTAATTCATCTACCGAAAGACAAAGGAATAAGTAATTCAGTTTAGCCATTATCAAACAGACCCTCAAACAAATGCAGTTGCCTATTTCTACTTCATATGTATATATATAATACAGAACATATGAATGTAGAACACACATATTTTGGATCTCCCCTCAAGTAAGTACAAGTTGTACTTTAATTTACTACAAAACCTATAATAGAGAAGTAATATACTTCAGCCTCAATTCAATGCATCAAATATTTTACACGGAATTCAATTCTTAGCAGAGTGGAAAAGACAGGATACCATCATTGCTCACTTCAAGTAGTCTTTGCAATAGCCATAGGTCACTTAATGATATCTTTGATGCCATAGAAGAATTTGAGCATCAATTGATTATATTAAAACATAAGTTAAATGCTAATAGTTAAGCTATGCAACTCCTATCCAATGCAAAATATCCCTTCAGAATTTTAAGAAAGAATACAAAATTAAAGCTTTATTTGGTAAGCAGACAAAAATTTTAAGAACATAAATTCTAATAGTCCAAGGTGGTCTTTTCCAATACAGTTTTTATTACCATTAAGCGTTTCAACGCTAAAGTGAAAACCAAAAGTACTTAGCATAATTTAAGAATAAATTAAAAACTCCACTCATTTAAAGATAGTGAAAGGACCAGAAAAGCACTTTAGCTTGCTATAAGTTTTGGTAAAGCAAGCAATTCCAGTCATTGTTCCACTAGTACAATAGCCCATTTAATGAACACTATATCATGCCCTGCAAGGTTTAAAAGGTTCTAAAGAACTCAAGCTCAAACTTGGCTCACAAAAATATAATTCTCCAATCCATTAAAGTAATCTAGTTTAAAGTAATTATTGGGATTTGCTTTAATTCTTCTTTTTTTTGTTTTGATGTTTTATCACCTTGTAAAGGAGATCCTAATGGGTTAAAGACCCCTTGATTGGGCAAGGTCCACATCCAGAAAATTTATTCAATGTAGATGCACATATAGGCAAATTTATATAATGTAGATGCACCTATTCTCACCAAAGGAGATTACCTTCCAGTAACAAGGCATTCAAGAGAACATTCAAAATAGGGACATGGTGCTAAATAAAGCTGATAAGTAAACGAGCTGTCAACATTCCATATATATGTACTGAGCTCAAGTCCTAAGTCATGTTTTCAAACTGCTGTTGACCCAAGGGATCAAACCATTTGAATCATCACCCAGTGTCATTGCTGAGTTAATCCCGAATTACTTCCAACAAGGCACTCAAAAGAACATTTGAAATAGGGGTGTGGTGTCGAATAAAGCTAATGAATAAAAGAACTGTCAGCATCCCATGTATATGTAATGAGTACAAAGTAGTGTTTTCAACTCATTGTTAACGCAGATGGTCAAACCATTTAACCCATCACCCAATGCCAATGCCAGTCTGGGTTAACCCCAAATCCAGAAATTGTTCAAACACCATTGACTTGGTCAAAACATCAACGCAGGCAGTTGAACCTTTGGCCCGCTTGACCTGGTCAGTGGGTCACAGGTTGCAAATTGCAATTCATAAGAAGATTTCTGGAGGCCATAGCTTTCCACTAAATGGTTGGATTAATGTGATCTTTTTATGTAGGATAACTTTTTGCAATCTATGCGTTGCAAGGAGCCAAAGGCACCTTCACCCACTATTTTTTTCCAAAAGACCCCTTCTGTGCCCTCAAATCTTAATTTTTAGTATAAAAATTAATCCACAAATAAAATATATATATAATATGCAGAACATGAGGGTGGGCCCTGGTGCAATGGTTGGGTTACGCCATTCTGGCCTGGGTGACCAGGGTTCAAATCTTGGAAACAGCCTATCTGTATGTGTAGGGATATGGCTGCATACATCTGTCCCTCCCCAGACCCCACATTGGTGGGAGCTATGTGCACAAGGTTGGCCTATAATATGCAATGATTACATTGATTACATAATTATGAAAATGTGTATGATTATGATTTTACATTGATTACATAAATCTGAATATATGTATATGATTATGATTATATAATTATGAAAAGTATACAAATGATTACATTGTAAATATATATATATATATGATGGTGTGCGCTGTTCGACCCAAACGGTTGAACCACAGACCCACAACCCAGAGGGGAAAATGGTTCAGCCTCCGGGTTGGTTTTTAAAAGACTGGTTTAAAACAGCTAGTGCATAACATAAAGAGAATTGATTGGAAAACAGAATATAATGGTTCTAACAACACCAATCATGTGGATACAGCTATCCAGAATGAAGTCAGAGGCTTACTAAATGTTCAACATAAGTATTGGCATCATTATGTTCCACAGTATCAGATGTTTCTTGGCATATACTGGAGACGATTTTATAGTAATCATTCAAAGAATTGCCTGTGGATTGAACTGCTTGCATCATGTAGGGTTTGAGCTTAGCAGCACAGTTTTCAATTACTTTTTCACCCAACTTCCGTGCAATAGGCAAAACATCCTGGAAAAAAAAAGAGTATGAAACTATGAACAATAGGACATATACAACAAGCAGAAGAAAAACTATAAAGACAAAAACAAAGCACAAAGTTATGTAGAAAATAGACATACCTGATTTTCCTTATTCACACTAGCCAAGAGAGGGGAGAGAAGCTCTGGTGAGATATCTTCACTTTCCTCTAATACAAGGGTCATAATTGTCTCCATGGAGGAAACTACATTTTCTGGGTGATCCTCTCTGACAATAGGACAATACCATTCTTTCCATGAATAAACAGATATGAGAAAATAAATATAATGAAAAGCACCTACAGTGCAGCTAACTCATAAACTCGATATATACATCTGGATATAGCTCAAAAAATTCCTCACATCATCAGAATACAAACAAATAGGAAGAATATCCACATCCTGCCCACTGCCCAACAGCTCCTGGCAGCTATGTATGAACCGTTTTTTTAAGTAACAGAAGATTTTATTAATTATAAACAGTAAAAATATGTATGTACAATTTTTCATATGTCCTTTGGAGTATAGATCACACCTCACTCCTTATATGTTTCGTCTTACAGCTAGGCCCAAAACAATTGATTCATTTCATCAAAAAATATCTTTTTGTTCTTTTGCAGTGGAGAGAGGGAACAGGTGAAGGCAGTTCAGTAGAAACTGAAAAACAAAGCACAACAGCCAGGAATTTGTAGGGCGAGTGAAATCCGAGAAAATATCAACTAGCTAATAATCATCAGAGGCCTATGACCTAATAACATGGTGTCATTGACAACACACATTAAAAGTCAAGAACTCAAGTAATGCTATGCATCCTCCAGTAAAGAAAAAGAGTAAATGCTAATCAGCTTTATATCATTAACCACACCTAGGCAACAAGACACTCATGGATGGTCGCCTCACTTAATCGACTACCTATTTTGTACATGTCGCAATGAAAAACTTAAATATTCTTTGTTTTTTGATATTATAATAATTGCATAGATATTGTTAAACTAAAATATTCATTTTATGGGTTTATATATTAGTTTTTCTTAATTGTTAAGGTTCAATCAACTCACATGTTGTTTGTACACTGCCTAGAACCCACAAAGCCTTCAGTCTTCAAAACCTAAACCAATAAGCAAGGAAGAGCCTCTATCCATAAAATGGGAGCTCAGGCCCTATATTTTCTGAATTTTCTTTTCTTCCTTTTTTGATGAATAATTTTCTTTTCTTCCTTTTCTTCTCATAAATATGTGATTTCTATGTTTTAATATGAAGCTTATACTTTTTTATGAATATAGATAATTATCAATGAAAAATGGTTGTGGGTTGCTATTGAACCAAGGGAATTACCCTAGAATTCTTCTATGTACAAAATTCCATTGTCTAGGTGACTAAACAAGGAACACCCCCTGTCACCTAGCTTTACCTTGGCACCTTGAAAACTATGATGTAGGGCCAGATGGGGAATTTTGCAGGCCCAAAGAGACTGGATGCTACTAAAATAACCACACTAGCATCATGATTGGTATGATATTCCAACAAGGTATGGACCCACAAAACCAGCTTAACAATTAGTCTTTATTATCATTACCCCAGGAAACACCAAATGAGATCCCCATTGGTACTCGTAAATTTTTGCTGTATATACAGTAAATCGTTATGATCAATTTGGAAGGTGGGTTTTTTGGGGATCAGATAGAAGGTATCATTAAATACTGTTTGTACTTTTTGTCAAGACTACTACCAAATGCCCATATGGAATGTGGTATGTGTATTGCAGTTTTCTTGGCATTTTTAAGATATTTTTCTGGTTTTTTTCTATTCCAGTTCTTTAGCATTGTCCACAGGAAATATTGCACTAAAATCATCATAATTAGTTTTTTTCCAATCCAGTAATGGAGGACTAGAGGCTGTCCTCATAAACTATTTGATGCAAACACAGCAAGGTTACCAGTGGACAAGGAGTAGGATGCAGATTTACACCAGAAGTTGGAGTATCCAAACACAAAACAGTATCTTTGCACAGGTATCTGGGTATCAGAAAATATAAGTGTTATTTCTTTGTTCCACCAGTATTTCATTGCATGCCCTTTCGCTGCCTTTGTTTGTAAAGTTTTCAAACTGCATAGTAGAGATTCTTTTCTGCGCATGATCAAACAATGTATATTAAATCTCCTTCAGTTTATCACTACAAGGACAATGATTAGGCACCCAAAGCTCATTAACGAACCGACTTTTTCCTACCCTATATTGCAATCCCTCCCTTTTCTTTGGATCAATGATGGCAATGTCTTGCTATTGCCCTGCATTGTTATGGGTAATGCTATTCTATTGTCCCATCCCACCCTCAATAGGCTACTTATTCAGAGTTGTTCATCAAATGGGCAGAAACCAACAACAACAAAGTAAATTTTATCCAACAAGTCAATTGCTGAAAACCTCACAAGGCCTTGTTATTATGACCATAACTGAAAATCCCGGCAGACATTGTGGTATGGATGTACAAATTTATTGTATCAAATTCAACACTATATATCATTGTAGACTTCCAGGAGAGAAAGAACATAAATTCTTAATGCAAATCCTTGTTTTCACATTTATTAGACTCTGGACTGGGAAATGAATCACAAAATTTAGACATATAACAAAGCCATTTTACATGGATATCGCATCATAGGCAGGACCACCAAAAATCATCACTCTACTACAGAAAGTAACAACTTGAAGACATTGTTCAGGGATAACAGTTCATGTTACAAGAAAACAATGATCATTGTTAATACCATTACATAGTTATCAAAGCAACGCCTAGGCAACATGGTGACCATGGAGGGTCACCTCGCTTAATTGTCTAGCTATTTTGTACATGGTGATATTGTATACACTTGTATTCTAATTTTTTTGAAATTATAATAATAAAACAGACCATGTTAAACTAAATTATTCAGTTTGTGAGTTAAAATACTATTAATTTATTACTTTTCAAGGTTCAATCAACAGACATGTTGGTGTATGTTGTCTTGAAACTTTTTTTGATGAATAATGCGGTTTTGAACCTTCAAAAACTTCAAATCCTCGACCAATAAGCAAGGAGTAACTTAAACTTTCCTAGGACACTGTTTTTCTTCCCATGAATATGTTAATTTTCTATGTTTTAATATTAAGTCTACATTTTTTATGATGAYTATAGATAATTATTACTAGTGAAAGATGATCAGTACCCTGGTGGCTTCTATGGAAACTAGGGAATTATCTTAAGATTCATGGATTTAAATCACAAAATCATCACCAAGGTTGACACCCAAGTGACTATGCAACAAGATGCCCCTTTGGCACCTTGAGAACTATGGCCATTATCATCATTTAGTAGATCTGTCTGACATGTGTTATCAAGCTTTTTTTGCATGCCAAAATACCATTATACAGTTGCAACTGTAATAGCATTTAAGCAATCAGCTTGTTTCAATTAACAAAGAGTAATGCTAATAGTACAAAATTATGTTTTTCTTCTACCAGATAAAAGTGCATCATATATCTGGAACAACGTGCCAGCCCAGTTTAGTCCTCCCATCTTTGGGCCCCTAGCAATGTTCCAGATGTGTAAGATATGATGTCATACCCAGCACAAAAGAAAGAGACTGTATCCATAGCATTTTTTTATCAGCAGTTGTATCCATAGCATTGTTCACTACTTAAGCTCTAATCCAAATTAACATTCTGCAAGATGCCTTTGAACTCTTGTATATCAAACAAGCAGTATGGCAACATGGGAAGTTATTACTTATCTTCATGTGTCACGTGATTCTTGTGATATGAACAAACGATTTCAATCAATATGAGAACTTAAACCAACATGATTATCTTTGTTGAATGTAACTATAAAACATGACATAAATAGCAATTAAATAAAACTGTAAAAGTAAGAACTCCAATCTTTGCTATGTCCATTCCATGACTATGAATAGAACACAATCAGCTATACCCAAGAACCAGAATACCAGATCTATAGGTGCCTTAAGTTTCTCGTGTATTTCAATGGCAATAAAGCAGGATTTGTGGAGTTTTCACTAAACAGATAAGTTACCACTAAAATAGACTGTAAAAAGACAAAAACAAAAACCAAGAGCAATAAATCTCTACAAGGATGAGGCAACAAAGACAAGAACATTCAAGACAAATATTTCTTTCCAAAGAGATCAAAAAGAAGATACAACACCACATTCTCACCTAATAGCCTTCAAGAAATGCTGGAACATCTCAATAATCAAAGCATCACATTCAAGGTCCAGCATCACAACACATGACCGAACCTTGGCAACAGTCTCAAGAATTGAAACCCTCTTTGCATATGATTGACCAGACATATCAAACAGTTTCTCAAAGGCTGCAACAATCAGTTGAAAGATTTCCTGCATGTAAAAGAAATGAGTATAAAAGTTACTTAAAAATAACCAAATGGAATGCAAAAAGTACACACCCGAACTTACAGAAACTGCAGCCACAATGGAACACCTTCAAAAAATTGGACATACAGATAAAACCAAAATAGAAACATTAAGATATTTGAATTACCTTCATTTGTTCATCATCGTAGGGGGCATCTGGAGCTGTTATTCTTGTGATCTCACTTATACAAGATGCTACTGCAACTTTTACATCCATATCCGAATGCCTCAGAAGCTCATTAGCAATCAGTGCCTTCATTGAGGGGCAAAGTGCAGTTTGCATTGATTTTGATGGTGATTGCTCCACCCTCGATAAATAATTCTCAACTTGCTAACAAGTGCACAAATTAGCAATTAGATGAAGAGATAAGATAATATATATTTTAAGAAGGTAAAATAAACTTTTTTGAAGAGATAAGATATATTGATCAACAGAAGATTCTAAACAATCATAATAGAATTCATTTCTAGTATTCGATCAAAAGAATACATAGTGGTTAGCAAGGTTAGCCAAGAAAAGTCAACAAATTTACTAAAGAAGCAAGTTATGCATTCACGATGAAGATAAAAAGTTTAACAGCAAAAACAGGTAAAATAGATTCATCAATTTACAATAAACCCTCCAATAGTCCAAGTTTCTTTAGCCATTCACAGGTAATAAAAACTTATCAAGAACACAAAATCAAGGAGAAAAACATTTGAACATATCCAAGGTATCTTAAGAAGAAAGAAAAACCAAAAAGTGGCAACAAATCATGCATACAAAAAAGAAGAAAGGGGAAGAAAGGTAGAAAATATAACCCATATTTTTTCTAATATGAGATAATATTCATAGCTGTTACGTAAAGTGGGAAAGTTAATTAACAACTACTTGCAGATATCTACCAATTTTTTCTAATATCTACACAACTGCGGGAACAGGAAAGTTAATTAACAGCTAGTTGCAGATTGCTAAATGTTGAAATTGCAAGTCAGTGTTGGAAAGCTGGACAAACAGAAAGTTTTTCCAAAACGGTGCATGTATCTGTCCCTCCCAAGACCACACATTGGCAGGAGCATCGTGCACTGCTTCCCATATTGAGAAGAAAGGCAATTTTCATAGAGTGTTCTTTTTTTTATTTTATCTACTTGTTTATTTGCTTATTTTGGAATGAATTAAGCAAACACCCATGCATCTTTCACCATACTCTTCAACACTTAATGAGGTCCAGTTTACCTGAGAACAGCTAACCAGGTATCTTAAACAGGAATAATYTAAGAGGATGTTCAATGCCCAGGCTTTAAAGTTTAAAGCCTTCAGAAATATCATTCCAAATGAATGTATTTAATCCCCAATAAATGAGTAATAAGTCTTCTTTTTTGAAGATAAATAAAGAAAAAATTTTATTAAGAGAGAAGAAAGAAAGAAATACTAACGGTGATAAGAAATCACCACAAACAAAACAAAAACAAACCTCGCCCTAACAAACCTCACTCACACCACTCCCATCCAATTTTCAAAGTATCGACATGTATCGGCCGATACATATCATGCCGATGGATTCCCGATACGCCCCTCCAGGGGTTGTATCGGGTCAGACCATGGTTGATGGTTCAGAGAGTAGCCGGGCCTTAAACCGACCCCTCTGAACTGGTTTTGAAAAAAAATAAATAAAACTCAAAAAAAAAGGTACCGCCTTGCTCCCATCCCAAAAAACCAAATTGAACAAACAAACCAACCCAACACTTGACACCCAACTCTCCATCTAGAGACCCAACCTTACAGACATAACAGACCACCCAGGCTTAACCTCCAACCCAAAAAAAGAACAAAATTCACTCACCCCAAACCAGCAAGTGTTTGGAACCTCTAATTATATATAAGATTAATCCCAATTAGCAAATATCATGAATACAATTGCAATGAACATAATTATCCTTCTCTAACTAGTGCAAATTTGAACTGACTGAACTATGACCTAGTGTCCTGTCAGTAACAGGTCCTACTATAAGAGGAAAGAAACAATCAGAAGCACAATACTGCAAGTGATCGAAAGATCAATAATTTTTTGGATAACTAATGTAAAATTTTATTCATAAAAAAGATATGAGCAGATTGGTCATTTACAAAAGAACAGAGATGAGATTAGCTCGTATATACAATCTATCTCCACCGTAATCAAAAGTGATAGTTCCCCACCCATTACAAAACTTAAAGAACTGAAGGGCATCAAATTTCCCCCAAAACAGATGCCCAAGAAACAATGTTCTTTCAATGATCCCACCCACTGCCTGAGTCAAATAGGAGACTATGATTACCAAGGAAATGTCACTATGCCTACAAGGTTGAATTCAATAGTAGTAAGTAAGAATAGAGGGTGAACCATTGATTTTCTATGAGCTCCATCCTATATGGGAGTAAATGACATTATACTCAATTAGCATATGCATGTGAACGTACAAGTATCTTGTCAAGAGAGTAATTTCAACATGCAATCAGCAATGAAGTTTTTCTGCTTTTTCTGATGCTCAACTAGTTTGGTTTTAGAAATATATATCAGCTGGAAAGTGGAATTTAAGGTAGCTAGCATGCTATTTCACTGCAGGGAGTGGAGACCACACATCACGCATGTGAATTGGATTGGGAAATGGGTTGAAATCTGAATGATATGTCCTCTATTTTGGTTTTCTCATGTGTAAATCTTGGCACCGGTTCAATGTATTATGCCAAATCAGGTTTCAGACGCCATAATGAAAACTTCATAAGCAAATCAAAATTATTTTGTATAAATCAAACAAAGGGTCACGTTTACAGCTATGACTCTTTGAGATGCTTCCACAACAACATCGGGATGTAATATCCTAACGATGGAAACCCCAGTAACAAGTCTCTGCTTGCACTGTTTTTTAAAAAAATCAAATAAAATATTACGAAAACACATACCTCGAACTTAGCTCACAAGAGAATCTGCCACTGAAACTTAGTTGAGAGTGAAAGAAAACAAAATAACATAAATCCCACACCCACTATTTAAAACATCATTTACCAGATAAAGAAGTCACACTGAAAAAGGCATGACCATCGCCAAAAAAAAAAAAAGCACAGAACAGCACATACTACACAGAAATCCGTCAAGCAACACAGCCCTCCAAGGGGATCCAACCTTCAAAACAAAAAAGAAAACGGGACAAGTAACGAACAAGGGCTTACGTCAAGTAGTTGAAGAAGCTCAATGACAGATGCGGGAGGTTTCAGCAGTCTATTCCCAGCCTCCAAGAGCTGTTCTTCCAACGCTTTCTCGGAGGACGCCATTTTCTGTCGTTCACGGATCCCCAAAGCTTCAGAGCTCCACTGCAACTCACACCATTGAAACCCTAACCAAACCCTAGAAACCAAACCATGGATGTAAGACCAACCCCAGCTAGGGCTCAAAGTAGAGCGAAGCCAGGAGTAAACGAAAATCTAGGGTTTTGCACCAGAGAAAAACGAAAAAAACAACAAACCAACAAAAAAACATGTTTGGCCGAGCTCCTCATTGTACCTGTTTTTCTCTTCAAACTTTTAAACTAAAATTTGATTTATCGTTTTTTCCTCTTTTCTTTTTGCCCCCTTTTTCTGCTCTCTCTCTCTCTCTCTCTCTCTCCTCTTGTTCGCTTGTCCGCTCCTTCGCTCACTTCGGTTTTGGTTTGTATGAGAAAACGAAAACGAGAAAACAAAAAATAAAGAAATGGTCCAAATGGAATTAAAGTGATTTAAATAGAATCCAGGAATCCGGTCGGATTCCGCCCGTTTATGGATTTTGGCTAAACGTTGGGTTTCGAATCCGTAGTAATGGGCCAGRCCTCGTCATCTTTGGGCTGGGGGCCTGCCGTGCCCGGCCTGGGGCTTCGTTTCCATGTTGAGATCAGAGCCGACCGATCGTGTGTGTTCGTGAATCCGTGTCGTCTGACTTCCCCTGAGTTTGAAAATACGCATATGCCCCTGGTTGATTCTGGGATCTTGACGTCATCGCTGCGTGCATGCCGTTTAGATGTCAGAGGTAGGGACCACGGGGGGAGTGTTTGGTTGCAGTTATGGGTCTTTTCGTGAACATGGTCACCCACAAAATAGGTGGTTTTCATTGGCTGGTTCTTCGACTTCTGAAATCGGATCAGTTTTGCTTTTGCACGTGGGATCAGTTTCATCAGATCACGAGTTTCAAAAAAATTGATAAATCACAAATTTATGTTTTAAGTTTTTCACTAAAAATATATATTTTAATTTTTTAATTTGGGTTTTTTATTTTTTAATTTCTTTGTAATTAAAAAAAAAAAAAAAACTAGTTTTATATTTAAACTCTTTGCCAAAAAATATATCTTAACCTGTTGTAATTTGGGTTTTTAATTTCTTAAATTCCTTTTGAGGTTTTTTTTTTTTCAAATTTCAGCCAAATGTGTATATTTTTTTCAAAATAAAGTGTTATAAAAATTGTTTTAAACAATACCTACTAAGTTTACTTTATTAATTTTATTGTAAGTATATATCTCACATTATCTAGTTGGATATATAATAACCGTGAAAAGTACAAAATGACAAAAGAGTCGGTTATTGTTTGGAAAGAAGTAGTACATTCAGGTAGCTTTCACCATTTATTTGCACTATTGAGAAAATGGCTTTCCAGATGTTACAATGCAACCTTTGAGGAAAAACACTAGGCTCAGTTTGGACTCTATATATGTATTTGCACTCTACTTGTATTTGTATTCTTTTTAAACTGAGCTTTATTAATTATTTTTTAATTTATATAAAATATAAAAAAAAAAAAAAAACGCATAGCAACTTATAAGGCCCGCTTTTCTTTAACACACTTGAGAAGTATTTGACATTATGGTAGATTAAAGCTTTATACATAAGCCTCCATGTAAGCATTATGTAGGCATTTTGGCTTTATTAAACCAACCCCATGTTTGGTTGGGCAAATTTAAATATAAATGTTGTACCATCTTCATATTAAGTTGTGTATAAGTGAGATACCTTTTCGATGTTTCCTTCTTCAATTAGGCATTTTAGGGTGTGTTTGGTATTATTGTATTGTGTGTCTATTTTTCTACCACGTGGCCAATTAAAATTTATCAAACCATAATCTCCTTTGGTTGGGCCAATTGAATATAAATGTTTTATACTACTTTTTTTTACCTCAAATTATGTGAAAGTTGTTTTTAAAAGAAATCATTTCGATATTTTTGCTCAAAAGAGATGTTATGTAGGTGTTTTCTCCAATGTGTGATTATGTGTATTATATAGCAATAAATAAATGTTACATTGCGCTTTGTGCTAAATCCACTTTTTTCCTTGATCTCTAATGCTTAAATCAATTACAAACAATGAACTGAGGGTTGGCTCGTTGGTGTATTAGCTGGTTTGTTCCAACACTAACGCAAAATCAAATCCCATAACCAGCACTTTGGGAAAAAAAGAGGTGAAGGGGGAAGTTATTAATAGTGCATGGCASCGAATGCCAAAAAAAAATAATTACAAACAAAATGTTTATGCAACACCGTAGTACCAAACATACACCTAGTATTTTATGCGGCAACAATTGTTTGATTTTCAATCTTATGATCAAATATAAATATTGAAGCTTCAACCTACCATGGTATTAAACATGCCATGAGTCTTTGTAATTTTTTTCTTAAAATTTACACCATAGAATCTTCTTAACATAAATGTCATTGTTTTATTTTTACTCCTATTTTTCATGAACATAAGGAATATTGTCAAACTAAAAGGGACCATAAAGGTCACAATAAAGTGTGCCAACAAATATGTTAATCTATAGCATTAAACCATTTTCTCTTATACATAAAATTTCCACTTATTGCCAAGAAACAAGCCATCCTATTGTTCTTCTTACCAATGAAACTTCAATACACATCGATATAAAAGTACATTAATGGAGTTCAACACTGATCGATTTAAAATGAGTGAGCCATCGGAATTTTGAAAAGTGTGACTATTGATGTAAAACTCAACCATGCACGGGGTTTACATCAATTTTCAATGTAAAACTTAGACCCCATCTAAACACAAGAAAATACGGACCAAGAGTGGAATTTTACATTGGTTCGTATTTACACCTAAAATAAACGCAATCTTTGGATATAATATCATCAATGATTGCTGGGATCAGCAAGAAGCATTCCTAAATATATTAAACAAAATAACATAATCAGATTCAATAACGATATGCCCTAACCCCGAACGATTACCATTAAGTGCAACCTAAGAATATCACTTTAGGAGAAGGAAAGTTGAAGGCCAAAAGCATTATCTTTTTCAACTTTTGCATTTATAAGGCTAACAACAATGCTTTATTTTTGTTTCCAAAAAAGCCCAAAGGTAATTTCATTCATGGAAAAGTACATTAAAATAGTCATGTAACAAAAGTTAATGAATGAAATCCATATGGTTCTAGACCAAGAAGCGTCATTGTTATAACTAGTAAATGGGCAGCAAAATTTCCATCGTTGTAAACAGGTATGATTTCATAGTTATCAAAATAAAGAAGGGCCCTACAACCCCGAATAAGAGGTGGAATGCACCACAAGATTAGTGGAAAACAATCCAAGAAAGCTTGAATCACAATTCTACTATCTCCTTCCAAACTAGATTAATAATATGCAACCTTAGAGCCCATTTGATCCTTTTAAAAAATGTTGATGCTTCAAATTCAATTTTCAAGCATACAGAGAGAGAGATGTAGAGAGACCTACGTATAACTGGCCTGAATTATCTCATAAGACTGCACTTATACCCAAATGGATAGAGCATCCACTTTTTTTTTTTTTTAGTAAAAGAAAAGAGTTTTATTAATGCAATGAACACCAAAATACAAAATCCATGGGAGGTTAAATAWAATCGGTTCTTGCAAGGCATTGCACCCATTCAGGATAGTCAAAAACAAAAAGTCCTTGATCCTAGAAACCTATGTGGGCTACAGTATGCGCCTAGTGCCAAGCCACAACCACTCCTGTTAACAAAAGAAAAAGAAATAGAGATAGTCTTAGTAGTAGTCAAAATGTCTTTAACAAGAGACACCAACTCAACTATAACACAAAAATGTACTAGGGGTGCAAATGGATTGGATCATGATACGATCCGATTTGAGATCCATCCTATTTGGTCAAATTTATCATATTTGGATCGCCTCCCCACCCCCACCCATCCAATTCGAGAATATTCGATCTGATGTATATTATATATTTATAAATATATATAGTACATATATATGTTATTTATAAATATATTTTTATATTATATTTTTTTAATTTGTTATATTATTATTTTTTATAAAAAACATGTACATGTGATGAAAATAATTAAAAAATACTTGTATTTTTTTGTTTTTTACTTTATTTAAATTAGTATGTTTTCTTTTTCTTTTAACAATTTATTAATTTGTAAAGAAAACAAGCTGGATCAGATCATATCCGAAGATCCGACTTACTGATAGGATTCGAATTCAAATTGAGTCCTATCAGATCTGATCGGATCTTCGAATCGGGTCAGATCTGACATGAACAGAGTCATATTAGATTCGAATATACCCTTAGTCGAATTTGATCCAATTCGTTTGCATCCCTAAAAAGGACTTTTACTAGTGGCATTAAGGAGTTCCTAATAGTCCATTTCAACTATACAATTGGAGAAACCTGAACCTTCACCAAGTCCAACCCCTACCTCAAAGCAATGGCTTTAGTYTGGAGGGCTGAGGCCACAAAAACAGACTTAAAACAAGCATCCTTGCAAAAACCCCTACGGCCGTTGATTACAAATCCATAACTACCTAGATTATTCTATTTGAAGCCTCCATCAACATTAACTTTGACTTGTCTTGCACTTGGAGTAAACCAAAACGAGGTTTGAGTCCGAGGGATCTCAGATGCAATCATACCTTATGAGGAGCTCCTCAAAAAGAGGTATGAGTCCGGGGTAACTCACATTTAGTTTAATTCAACATATCCAATTCTTCATTTAAACCTTGTTAAGAAAATCCATGTCACTAACTTTGTTCGAATGATTTTTAGTTAATTAACTGGAGTTAAATCAAATGTCTCAAATTAAAGTGTTGACATGCATTTGATTATGTCATTTGTTTTTTAACTAGTTCTCAATTTCCAAATATATCACTATGAGCTTTGGGAAGCTCACGGCTAGCAATAGGAAAAGTAGTCGTCACCTATTTTTTTTAGAGCAAATTTACTTAATTTTTTTGATATTGATCCATTTCTCAACGGGAAAGACACTCAACCAAGAGATCTTTGATTCAAATGGATTAGGAGAGGGTAAGTGTTAAGCACCCCTCTCTCCAAGTTGTTGTAACAACCTAATATGAAAGTTGTTTAGGCTTAAGCTTTAAGAAACAACTTCAAGCAAGAAAGAGTAAAACACCAAAACCTTAGAAGAAGATTCCCAACTTTGTTTAGAGTTGGTCTAAGGTGATGTGATCGATATTTGGGTACAAGTTTCCCCAAATATCTCACGTCTTTACCTCATTCTTTAAGCATAATTGAAATTTGGAATGAGCTAAAATGAATTAAAGAGATAAGTTGATAAACTTACCTTTTTGGATGTAGCCTTGATTGTTAATATCTAATAACCAAAACAAGCTAAAAATTTATTTCTTAAAAAAGGGTGAGGGCTCTAAGTTATTTTATAATC